GTATTTTAACTAAGACTTGCCCACTCAGTAAAGAAGTTCAGTTAAAAAAAAAATTGCTTCCAGCGGTATATATGTGACACTGCTGGTAGTGTATGTCTAAGTGAGGTTTGCCTTTTACTTTGTACTTGTCAGTACTACACTCTAGCTGAAAAGTATCCCCGTTCCATTTTGGCTTTCCCCTTGCCTTTACTGAATAGCCTTTTGCTTGTTTCTCTGCCCACACCCACTTTCTGGACCACTTTGGTACTTAACAGAGTCATTTTGCCTTTCAGTTTTGTGAATTTGCAGAACTCTTTTATGTGAGATCCATTGTAAAAACTCTTCTTCTGAAAATGGCAGATGCAAAATCACACCTACTGTAATGAAGCAAAATTATCGTTCACTCTGTTAAATCAACCACACCTGTCATCTTCAGCATGTAATCCTAATTATGGTCTGTTTATCCAGTCCCATCTCCCCTTTCCCTTCAGTGAGTGTGTTGCAGCTGGCTGTGGCAATGACCATGCTGAGCAGGCTGGGTGATGGTAGGTCTCCTACTGCATTTTTGTGGTCATCTGAAATTTCAAATGTCACTAAAATGATGGCCGAAACATGGATTTTTACCTGCGGTCAGTCTTTAATCACCCTTTTTAAGTGCAGCCAAGTTCCTTTAACCCCATTTACCCTGAGACTAATAACAGAAAGTTGAAAAGTGCAAAAGATAAGTTCAGACCCTGTAGATTTACTCTGTGGTTATTGAAACTATGGCCTCATAAACAGCAGCCCATGAAAGAAAGAGAAAGCAAAGTATGCGGTGTTCTTTTACGTTAAGTTAGCTACGGGATGATGGTGTTTGAAGCAAACCCGATGGCCTGCTGTGGGAAGACAGGGTGCAAAGAACAGCATTGCCCAGCTTGGGTACTGGAAGGGAACCAGATGAAGTGATGTTTGTAAGCCACAGTTGAGCTTAGTGAACCTGGTAGGGTTCAGTCTGTCCCTACGCTAGCTGTAGGTTTTAGGGAAGTGTCTTTGGTGTGTCCTGACAGCAAACCGGTGGCTCTGTGCCACAGCGGTGTGAGCAGAGGGTTTCAGGGAACTGGCAGCATGTCTCTTGGGCCGGCATGTAACTGTTTTCCAGGATAGATTAAAAAGCTCTTTGCTCTGTTCTTCGTGTTTTGATTCACACAAGTGAGACCCTGGCTGCTCAGAGAAACCTAGGGAAGATTCAGAAAAAGCTCCTAACGTAAGGAAACCTTTCCAATGCAGTCCCCAAACCAAATGGGAATCAGCTGTTCGAAAGCAACCTTTGTAGAGCAGGTAATAAAGGAAAACTGAATAGCCCTATTCATGGCCTCAACTAACAAATAAGTAGCATGGTATGTAAAGCAAAACTCCTGCAGTATCCCCCCTACTCCCGCCTTACATTCACAACCCATTTGCTGTCCAGAGGGGCTCTGCAGGCTAACTACGTAGAGTAACTGCAGCTCCATGGCACCTATATGCTGTGGGCAAGTCATGATTTGAAGCTGCCAAGGTACAAATACCAGGCAGTGCAAAAGGGCTTGCTGAGACATGTAGTTAGACTTAATGTCACGGTGATAATGGAAAAATCTGAACAGGAAAGAGCTGCGACAGAGAAATGAAGGCACGCACTTGTCCATTAGCGACTCACCCTGTACTTCATCTGCATATTATAGCCATGTGAGCTAGTTATTACACCACTGTGATTTAGATTCCCAAGAAGCATGAGAGTCACTAGTAACAATATTAATTTTATCTGACCACTCATTTTAAAACATTTTAGGAGTTATTCTTTACACCTCGTGAACAGCACTTTATAGTCCTCTGTGCTTTTACCAGAGCATGAGTATTACTGTTGCCCCTTCGTCAGCCTGCTCTATCGTAGTCTTTCCTTGTTTAGTTCCTGATTTTCAGCAGTGATGGAAGAAAGAATCTTGTTAGTTGTCTTCTTGACAAAATTGCTGCTTCTTGACAAAATTGTTTAATATTGCCAAGCAATGTGAGTGTACTAAGGTCAGAGACGAATCACCGTGTGTTGGAGTGACATAACTGCTATCTGAAATACCTGCACTTGGTGCCTGTTCGTGACAGTACTCTGTTGTTACATTCACCTTGGAGGATCAAGGAATGTGGCCTCCTATGTTCTCTTCTGTGTCGCTGCTGTGGCAGGAGTTACCCTTTTGCAGTTCTTAGACCTCTAGTCTGTACCTATTTCTGATTATTTGAGAAGCTGCTGCTGCCCAGAAGAATCTCAAGGGAAATTCCACCTAAAAAAGGAAGTAACGAGTTCTTTTCTTCCTCATCTATCCCTCTGTAGTAATACATTCAGTAAAAAACTGGTATAGACACTTCTGCAGCAAAAGGTATTCTATAACCCCACATTTGGCTGAGATTTTAGCCATAATTTTTCAGTCAAAAAAACCCATAATATAAAAGTAGGTCTCCTGCTGACACAAGAGTAACAGAACAGGAATTCATGAATTATGGCGATAATATCTGCCAACAGTGCTGTAGGTGCTTTAAAAAAAGATTCATTACCGTCTAAGCTCTTTTTTTTCCACTACAGCACTCCTGGTTCTCCAGCAGTTGCAGCAGAGCACAACTTATCCAATCTGATGGCGAACTCCTGTTGAAATAAGTTATCCCCTGCCCCCAGACACATGTTTCTGTTTCGTCTTTGTCAGAGATGAGTCTCAGGAGTGAGTCACATCTGCTTGTTGATCCCATGGACATCTCCTCCTGAGCGTGTATGATGACTAGATGCAAGGGAAAGCAGCTTTGGATGGAGGCATCAGGTCCAGTCCAAGCAACAGCTGTCAGACAAGATCAAGGATGTAGCTTCACATCATGCTTCATGTTCTTCGTTATCCAGTGGTGTACTTCAGTGGCTGTTGAACATTGTAAGCTGTGGGCTTCCATCTGCCAGGAATCCCTGGCGGTTGTGATACGGCAGCTCAGGAGGGATCATACTGCCATAAACAGCAGCTTTCCTCTTTCTTCACACTTCACTAGTGCCGTGATCCTTGAAACAACCTTTTAAAAGAAGATGAAATATACTATTCAGTTGTAAGGGAAGGGGGAACTGTGCCCACTGCTGAAGGTTTCTTGTGTGGGGACACAGGAGACCAACTCGAAACCAAGCAGCAAGCAGTAGGACTTGTTAACTGCCTGTGATGCTGCTTCTATTGGGACGGGCCTCCTTTTGGGTTAGAATAGCAGTTCCTTGCAACTTGGCAAATTGTTGCTTTTCTACGTAGTGTTTTTTGGCTTTAGGATTTTCTTTGAGGTGCGGGGAGGGCAAGTTTAAAGTCAGGGTTTATTTTCCCACTACCAGCCCTTCCCTTCAGCACTGCAAGGATAATAGGGATGCTGTGCCAAAATGTCTCTGTAAGAAACATTCACGGTCCTGCACAGTAAGGTGGTTCTTTGGAGCAAAATCCACTGATACGGAATCGGGTATTTATTTCTCTTTTACATTTTTTAGCCTGGTTTGTTTCAGAGAGGTGCAGAAATGCTGTTTTCAGAAGCCAGAGCACCAACAAATGTCAAAGGCACAAGTGCTGCTGGCAAAAACTGCTGGCTAGGCCCCCTCCACTGAGCCCTGAGAAATGCTCTCTTGTTTGCCCCACAGGCGACCAGCCAAAAACTAGCTCCTCAACACACGGCTGGTTTGACTGTCCCCCAGAGTAGGCACACAGAAGGCTACTCTAGCCCCAAACCTCTTTTCAGGCCACGTGGCGAGCTGAAACCATTCATTCTTCTGTGCAGCTGCTTCGAGATACAAACGGAGCTATTATGGATTTTACTCCATGCTAACAGAAAGCCAGTAGAATTCCCTTAGCCAGTTTTTGGGTACAGCGAATGCATCACTGGCCTGTAAAGGCAACCGAATAATACAATATCACCTAATCCATCAAGCAGGGAAAATACAGCTGGATTTTAAATACTGACTTAAGAAGTAATTCATATCCTTGATTATTTTGTCTCCAGTTAAGTACTTTTAACAACATTTGCTCTATTTCAAATTCAATGCCATAGTCCAGTGGCAAAGGAGGAAATTATTGCAACCACTCACCTACCTCCGTGGGCTTGCTTAGTCACTGCCATGTCTAGTTGCTATGTCTGACTATAAAGAAAACACTGATGATGGGTTTAACTGACGAGATTGTCTTTGAAAAGCCTCTGTGATGTTTTCCGGAGGTTAAAACCAAGACTATGATCCAAATTCTACTTTAAACCCATACTGATTCCTTCATCCAGCTCTGCTGAAAAGAGTCTTTCCTTTTTAGCTCGCTGGCAGGTGAGCGCTGGTACATCTGACAGTGTTTCCTCTCCTTGTCTGTCTGCTGGAGGCTCTCCTTGCCCAAATCTCCAAATCATCTCAGCTCTAGAGCACTTCCAGCAGCAGCTAAGCTGACTCATTGGGCTTTCTTCTAGACTAGCAAAAGTGCTGGCACATGCTTCTTTGGGTAACTGCCCTGCAGCTCTGATGAACAGAAAATGCAACCCTTCGCTTACCTCGCAGCAGCAAAAGGGACGGCAGTTTTTCTTTCAAAGAGCTTGCAGTTGTACACAACGGTGGTCACAAAATTTTGGAAGCTTCTGAAGCCTTTCATGGATAGCAGTGACAAAAGAAAAAAAAAAAACCTCTATAGTAATAGGTGTGATCACACACTTTTGAAAGAAGGGGGTTTGTTTGGTTTTGTGCTAAAGAATCTTGCTGAATTTATGTTGGTAGAGTAACACAATGACCTCCTGTATTAACAGCAATGCTTACCGAGATTACCTCCTTTATTTTAATTTTATTTTTGTTAAGAGGAAGAAGTGAGAAGTTCTGAGGGGTTAGATAATAGTGAGAGAGGTTTTTTTTCTTCTTTAGGTAAGTATCTAGGGATCACAGTTTTCTTTAAACCGTATCTGAGGATGTTGGATGTATTTTTGAACAACTGTGTGAAGTTTCACAGCTATTGCAACATGAATCTTTGATTCCCTGTTTACAGCCAGTGCTGATTTCCCATACAACGGTCAAGCTATAGGAGATGGAGTTAACAGAAACTCTGCCATTATTGGAGGTAGGAAAACCATCTACTTTTCTAAGATACTTTGCAGTATGACTGAGATGGCTGAATTGCATTTGGTAACATATTCAAGATACTTGCTAAGAGCTGACTATGTGGGAAAACTACACCTGAACAAAGTTAAGCAGAAATCTCTGTAAGTCCCTTCAGGCACATTGTCCTAGTGAAATAGTTTGTTCTGACTTAGTTTGTCCCCTTGGATTCAGTTTTAACCAAATGAAAATACTGATATTCATAATCCACATATTAAGCATCCATGTGGGGAGCTACTTTGCAGTAGTTAACTTATGTTAAAAGAGTAATTCATTTATATGAAATGGTAACTTTTCCAGTTACAGCAGATTCACCATGAATCTGTCAAACATTATTTGCTCCACCCTTGACAAAAGTCCTGCCTTATTTTTTAGGGGCCAAGTTCTGCTATAACTTATGTTATGGAACCTGTGCCAAAATGTCGCTGTAGGAAACATTCATGGTCCTGCCCAGTAAGGTTTTTCTTTGGAGCAAAATTCACTGATACAGAATCAGGACAGTTGCATTCAGTGTGATAGTTGATGTTAAGTAATACCAGAACTGGAACTTCGAATTAGCATTCCGTTGAAGATATTCTGGCCAGCTGCCTCCAGAAATAAGGGTCCTGATTAATTTTATGCACACGTGCAATTATCTCTGCCCTGTACTGTAGTATGGAAGTGTTGTAGTCTCCTGGGAGAACTTTGCCACTGCATCAAATTTTGAAAGCATATTAAAAAAAAAAAAATTGTAAAGATCAGCCTAATAGCTTTCAGTCAGTTCTAAATGTATATAAAATGACACACTAGTGGTGGTTTTTTGTCATGTAAAGCAACACTGAATATAGTAGTACATGCAGTCTGAAGGAATTTCTTGTTTCTTTTCCCTGGCGCTCTCAAGGGTCTGTGTTTCCATATCCAGTTTAGATTAGTTGCTTTAGTTTTGATTTGCTATGTTATTTTTCCTTCTTAATTTATATTGTTATTACTAATTAAAACTTTTCCTTAATACTTTGAAACCTTACATTACTAGAAGGATAGCATTGCATTCCTCATAAAAATTCAGGCCACACCTGGACAGCCTGGCTGTCCGATGCATCACTTAACAAAAGTGGCATAACATAATTCTGGCTGATTACAAGATTTTTTTATTATTTTTTTTTAACTTGAGAATTTTATAATGTCTTCATCCTGGAAGATCCTTATGCCTGTAGACAAGGGCCAAAAAAGGAACAGTGCTGGTTTAGCACATAGTTACTTATGCCTAAGAGGGTAAGAGAGATGAGACTTCTCCATAACAGGGCTGAACCTCAAAGAGGCCATTGCAGGAGCAGCAATTAAGGATAGGTGTGATGATAAAGCAATTACATCTGTAATTATGTGGAGCCAGTGCCTAGTGAGTGGAGTGAGCCAAGCCAATTTTTAAGGACATGTCGAGGGGCTAGGATAGATCTAAACAGCCGTTGACTGGAAAATATACATCAGTGACTCCATCCTCAAAGGGCTGCCCAGGCCGCGACACATCACCATTTCACCCCCATGTTTTGGGAGCACTCGGCACCCTCTGCCCCATGGTCTGCAAAGCTCAGGTCTGTAAGCAGGTATTAATGTTGACGTTTACCTATGGGGTGAAAGTCACTAGCAGACTCTGCTCAGTGACATTTTATATATAGCAAAAACTATACATAAATATTAGAGTGGTGGAAACCAAGCAACTGTGGTGATGTTTAACTGCCCAGGTGGCTTTGGCTCAGCTCGGCGGAGTTATGAGATCCTTTCTTTGTGTCAAAATCTGTAAATCTTCTCACTAATGGCATCTTTTCTTTCCTCGTCTGTGTAGGCGTCATCGCAGTGGTGATCTTCACCATCCTCTGCACCTTGGTGTTCCTGATCCGCTACATGTTTCGTCACAAAGGAACCTACCACACCAACGAGGCCAAAGGGGCAGAGTCAGCCGAGAGCGCCGATGCTGCCATCATGAACAATGACCCCAACTTCACGGAGACCATCGACGAGAGCAAGAAGGAATGGCTTATCTAAGCCCACGGGGATGGGGCCTGGGGTGGGATACGAGCTGTGCCAGGGTGGGACTGGGATGACTCTTGCAGTGGGGAGAGAACACTCTGTGTCGGACGCTTGAGCACACGTACGGTAAAAAGATCAGCACAACTGGAGGAGCAAGTGACAGGAAAATACCACTGAGACTGGAGGAAAAAAAAAAAAAAAGAATATCTCGAGCATTTAAGAAAAAATACTTTTTAATATTTATTTACAGCAAATTGCCCCTTCGTATCCAAACAGCTACAACAAAGAGCAGTTTTGCAGCTTCAGCATTGGTGAAAATTTTCAGTAATACCTGTCTATTTCTCTGTGTGTTTAGAGGTGTTCTGGATACCCACGATAAGAAATGGGGCTGGTTTTTTACATTTTTTAAAAGCTGTTTAAAACATGGGTAGTTCTGTCCTGAGAACAAATGGCAGACCTTTCTTCCCGGCATTGTGTTCCTTCATGGCTGGCCACTTCTCCACAGGCTGCCCTCAGCCCTGCACCTTGACCATATCACCCATCATTTTGGTGGTGTTGAACCGGGGGTTCAGGGCTGGGGGCAGGACGGAGGGGTGAGGATTAATGCAAATCTTACTCGCCAGTTTTTCAGTGTGTCATCAGCCCATGCCAACCCTGGCGGGATCCATTTTCTTGACCCAGGCACTTTGTTGATTACGTACAATTCTCATCAGCAATGTAAAAACACTGTTATTACGATGACTACTACTACTGGACGATCATAAAGCACAGGAAGCTTTGCGGGGGGGTTGTTATTATTATTATTTTGTTGGTCTCTGAGGGAGGATGATGCTGTGTGAGTCTGTAGACCTAGTCTGTTCCTGTGTCTTTGGCTATGGCACTGGTGACCTGAGGCACATGCCAGTTTAAACTCAGCTCTGCCTGTGGCATATTGGCATATACTGTACTTAGGCATAAGCATCGTAGTAGGGAATTAGAGCCAGACTTTGTTTGCTTCTGTTTCTTTTTTTATAGGCTGTGTCAGAAATATTAGTACAGCTCTAGTCAACGCAGTTCAACCCACAGGCTTCACATAATACTTTTTCTCCAACTCGACCATAGCAATTTATTCTTTAAATCCTTTGTTTCAGTCCCTTTGCAAGGACAGTTCCTGCTGGCAGTGTTGGCACAAGCAGGAAGGTGAGGTGAAGGAGGTTTGAAAACTCTGCCCAGAGAGCACGTGAGAAACACACAGGGCACAGTGGAGAGTTACTTTTCAATACAGAGATCTACCTGAACTATTTTGCTGTATTTGTAAGGCATTTTTAGGAATAGCAAGGCCAGTGCCAAGTGCAGCATTGCACACGATGTCCTCTCATGGGCCAGGGAAGTTGTAGGTGTTGCCTGAGAAGCAGGCAGGCAGCCTGTAGGAAAGGCAACGGGGCAGCCTGAAGACCTAATATCCCTTGATGGCAATAACATAGCTTTAGCTTGCCCTCTATAGAGGAGCGTGGTTCTCCAGTGGTCTGATTTGATAGGAATTTAAGGCCTTAATGGGCAGCTTTTACAGTGGAAGAGAATGAAGGAATGAATGTACTGCAGGGCATTTGCTGTGTGCTAAAAGAACAGAAACAATACCAAGAATTTCCCTTTAAAACTATTTATGCTCATGACAGTCCTGGATTTGCTTTATCTTTAATATTGCTGGGTTTAGTATGCACAGATTTAATCCATTTTTGTGTGCAAGAAACATGTATTTTTCACCCAAAACTGCAATCTACTATGCTGAGGAGTGCTGGCATCTTTAATTCCCTTACCTTTTGGTTGTATCTTTCATTATTCTAGTTGATGCTTTAAAATAAAAAAAAAAAAATCATGGAGGGGGAAGAAAATACTGGAGTCTTAACCAGGCAAGAAATTTATAAGCACAATTTGTCAGACAAGGCCGGGTAGTTTGAGTTTTAAGGACAGTAGCCTAAAGTCCTCATCTGGATTTATTTGAACATAGGTATCAGAGCAAATCGAGCCTATTGATTTCTTCTGTTTATGAATTTGGAATTAGCATACAAAAAAGTTGCCACTTCCAAAAAAAAAAAAAAATTTGCTTTCTCAGGTAACATTATGTGGCAGAGGGGTTCAGGTAGGCATAAAAATCACCTCTGTCGCTCTTGTGCTCTGCAGTCTTTTGCCTTGCCTCCAGTATTAACCTCTCCCTCTCTTGTGTTTAATTGAGCAGATGAGTCTTTATTCTTGTTTAATTGTGGCTGTAAGATAAGTCTCCACCCCTTGGAGGGTATCAGCATGGGATGGATCTAGCCTGTACCGCTAACTAAGCAAAATACATAGCAATCACAGATGTCTTTGCAAGATTGAAAAGGCATTCTCTTTTCTATATTATTTTATATTTAAATTGATTTTAATGGTATTTTAGTCCACTCTGAAAAACATCCTTGCCTGCAACTTCAAGTTACCAAGAGAAGTGAATATAGCCTCATTTGCATAGATTGGGATTTGGTTTGCAGCAAAAAGTTACTTACTAATCTGAATTTAATGTCTGGGAGGAGGATCAGACTTAGGTATCCTGAGAGACTAGAGTCTTCTGCTGCTTCATCTGGGAGAGACAGACTTAGCAGCCACAGTGTAAATGTGCCAAGTGCCTGAGCACAGACTAGAGGGGAGAGATGGCTAGGGCTCTGCACCTAAGTCCTTGGCGAAGCTAGGGACAGTTATCTGGGTTACAGTAGTGAGGCTTGCGACATCTATTCACTGATCTTCTCAAAGATTACCAGCTAATCTCCCTCAACTCTTAAGCAGAAATTTCTGGAAGATAACCTTTGACCATTACACAAGCAATAGTGGTAAATTATTGTCTTAAATTGGAAAAACGGGTTTTAAATTTCTGAAATGAAGTTGCAAGCATCTGCATCTCTCCGTTGGCTGGACACCGTGGACCTCTTTACTTGAAGTTCATTAGTGCTATGTTAAAATGTTGATGATCTTCAGCCTTGTCAGTATTTCTGTGATACAGTCACTTTCATGACTCTAGAAACTCTTTTAATTATTAGAATTCTTGTTTCTTCTTAAACTGGACCTTAGATATGACATTGTAGACTAGCAGCTGGTCTCTGTATCGGCATTTGGTGACTGTAGGTGAATTCCTGCCTGTCTGCTTTGTATTTCATGTTGGAGAATGGTGTGTGTTTAATCACAGCAGTGGTCATTCAGCAGCCTCGCGGTGAAGCAGCAGCAGGCTCAGAGAAGTAGCTTGGGTATTTTGCTAGCGCTGTATCTATTCTGAGGATTTCTTCCTCTGTGAGCCTATTATTGAAGGTTGAAGCAACATCCATAGTTTACTTCACCCACTCTTATTTGTGCCAAAAATCCACGTTGTTTAACAGATACTATCCATACGCCTGTAGTGGGAAAAATCTGTTGTTTCGGTTCCTGCTTTTACAAAACTCTGTACTTTCCCTGAAGAATATTAAAATAATCAGTCTTTTATCACCTCTTTTTACCTGCTTCACCTATTTGAACTGTGCAGAAAAACGTAGCTGCTTCTACCGGTTGGGGAACCCAAGTGTCCCAGTTGTGTTTCTAAAAGGCTCGTTCCCGATTCCACGGGAATCGACAGCAAAACTGCTGCCAGCAGTGGGGAGAGCAAGACTGGGCTGGAGAGGAGAGCTGTCGGTGTTAGTGAAATAATGTAAGCAATATTTTGGATCCTCATTCACGACACATGCAGACCACCAGGTAATGAGCCAATGGAGCTCCAAAGAGCCAAAACAGTGGAAAACTAATGGAAAACTAATTTTGATGTCAACCCTGCCTCGAGGGGGAATCCGCGATTCAATCTGGTGATTTTGAATCAAGTCTTTCACACACTGCTTATTCCACATTTGCTGATAGGAAATGCAGATGTATTAAATAGGAATATGTATCTTTAATTGGTGCTGGAGCATTTCTGCTTTGTATTTTTCTTGTCTTAAACGTTACCTATACTTTTTATATCTCGTCTAGCAGTTACTGCTTCAAAAGTATGGCAGCATTTTAATATCATGCTCTAGGTAGTATGATATATGTGAAAGGATGGTCATCATCTGGTGAGGCCGCACCTTGAATACTGTGTCCAGTTTTGGGCCCCTCCATGGTTTAGTTGACAGGGTGGCATCAGGTGTACGGTTGGACTTGATGATCTTTGAGGTCTCTTCCAACCATAATGATTCTATGATTCTATGATTCTATGATCATCAATATTTTGGTAAGACTGCCAAAGCAGTGGTGTATATGTACAAGTTTATTGTAGTGATAAGAATTCAGTTTAAAGGTCTAGTAAATAATTACATTTTAATTAAAACAGTGTCCTTTAATGGCAGATGCATCTAATTTGCAGGGTGTCTGCTGAAACAGGAAGCTATCTCAGTTTGGCAAGCAATAGCTTTTAATACGTTTTCTCCCTTGAATGATTTTATGTTCTAGCAAGCCTGGTGATCCTGAAAGGGTGTCATTTTTGAAAAGCGGAACCTAAATTCTATTCATCGGATCTCATTATCCATCCTAGAGAAACAAAACAGAAACTTTGCCTTCTAAAAGCAACAGCATATAAACTAGAATGAAAGGACAGCATGTATGTATGCCTAACAGCTTCTGTGAATGTCTTTCCTTTTCCTTTTAACTAAAGTTCTATTAGAGACCAGAAAGGGTAAAAAGAAAAATAAAATTTGAAACAGTTTTAATTACCCTAACAGCTGTTTCCTCATGCTTTGTGTATTCTGATCGTTGTTTATATTTTTTCCTTCTCTAGTACCAGGAAATCAGTTTGGCAAGGACAGAAGTTGGAAAGGCCTCTCAGGAAAAGACCCACAGTACATGAAAAAAGGGACTTGAGAACGCAGTTATACCTAAGAAGAGAGGGTACTAAAACCAGGGAGGCTTTGCTGAAGTGCAAGTGTGTTCCTCCTGCCCCAGGCAGCCCTGATTACCTGTTAACGGAGGAGAATCTCAGGCAATGTAAATCTGTACTTGTTGAGGTGGGCTGAGGGTCTAAGAGTAGGGGTTTGGTAGAA